GATATGCTATTTTCATTTTAGTTTCTATCCTATTCAAAGTAGAAATACTATTGGTATTTGGACCAAAGGCAACATAATGTTTTATTGACTTGTTTATTCAAGCTTGTTTCATGTCTGTTTTTCCTTTCTTTTAATCTATTGAGTGCCATCTATGGTTTATTCTAGCGTGCAGAGTGAGAGAGCAATTGTTACAGAAATTGCTGGAACTACTAGGGATGTGGTTGAAGCCAGTATAACAGTTCGTGGCATCCCTGTGACGCTTCTTGACACTGCAGGCATTCGGGAAACGAATGATATAGTGGAGAAGATTGGTAAGCCATCTGATTTGCAAAACAGATTGATTCCAATCATTTCCTGTTAATAGCCATATAATGATTGGTGACACATTGCATAATTGAACTTGGTTACTACTGATATCCCTCAATTTAGTTGCTGAACTGTCTCTAAACTTTCAATCTTGTTTTTATATGGATATATTAGTTGGATGAACATTTGTCTGGCCATGCACTAGTGATTATGGTTATGACTCAGATTACTTGTTTATGCTCATCTGCCAAGCAGAGTGGAGCAAACAGATTTATATTCAGTGTGACAGACACACACAACGATCATTTATGAAACTTCTGCAGATTTAACCTGCAATGGCTATAATTTAGAACCATTGGCTTGAATCTAAGAACCAATCAACTTAATGACTTGTCCTATTGCCAAAATTTTTCTGGAACTAGATCAGTTGTTTCTTAGCAACACAGATGAATTGTTTATTAGATTTTTGCTTCTAATTTATTTCCAGGAGTGGAGAGATCTAAAGCAGTTGCAATGGGTGCAGACATCATTATCATGACAGTGAGTGCTCTTGATGGGTGGACTTCAGAAGACACTGAACTTCTTCAAAGGATTCAATCAATTAAGGTGCCCCCTCACCCTCATCTTCTCTCTCTCATACGCACAGAGTTAGTGGTTAATCCAATGTGACTTGTCTTAAAATCATGCTTATGACTACCTTTTCTCCTTCTCTGGCCAACTGAAGTTTCTTTTACTCTGATGACTTGTTTAACTTGCAGAAATCAAATGTATCTTCAACCCCAATGGTTCTTGTCGTTAACAAAATAGACTGTGATTCATATGCTTTCAGCGAATGGGTAAATAGGTACAAAAGCTCTTTCAGAAAGCATGTTTTCACATGTGCTGTCACTGGTGAAGGAATACAAGATTTGGAGGCAGCAATATTGGAAATTGTGGGTCTCAATCAAATTCCTGCAGGGGGACGCAAATGGACTGTAAACCAGGTATCCTTTTATTACTGTCATTGGTAAAGCAACTTATTTATTATGGTAATCAAAACTTTTTATTGATGGGTCTCTCAAAGTTAGTTTGAACCCACGGCTTGGTGAATGGTCCTGCTTGTTTGCAATCTGTCTTAATGATTTGGCAGAGACAGTGTGAGCAGCTTGTACGAACAAAGGACGCCCTTATAAGGTTGAAATCATCTATAGAAGAGGAAATGCCTCTTGACTTTTGGACAATTGATTTGAGGGATGCTACAATGTCTCTTGGGCAGATAAGTGGAGAAGACATCTCTGAAGAGGTTTTGTCCAATATTTTTGGGAAGTTTTGCATTGGAAAGTAGATTTTTTAAAGCTCAGTGGTCATTTAATTGCAGGATTGAACCTGTTAGTAGAGGCCCTACTGCTGCCTGAGCTAACAAGTCTTGGGTTCCGAAAGTAGCATGTAAATATTTTTTCATCAGGCGCTGATTATAGTAGAGTTCCGAAATATGGTCTGAAAGTTGGAGCTCAATGTAGGAGTCATTCTTTACATTTTGTGATTAATGTAACTTTTTATAATATCCAATGAATTTTTTTATACAGAATTAATTTATATATTAATGTGAACTCAATCTTACATAAAAAAAAATATATATATGTAATTATTGAAATTTATATAAAAATTCAAGTTATACAGTACTTATAGTTTGAATATTAGATTTTGAGAGCTAATAGTTTGGGTTTGAAAAGTTGTCGGGTTAATGATGATTAGTTATCTGGCTTCATAAATAGTATTTGAGCATGTCTTAATTTGGTGATTCTAACTGGTAAAGTCTTGGAGTTTATACTTTTATAATGTGATTTGTGATTGTATGATATGTGATTTTGATAAAAAATCAAAGACTCCAGCTTAAAATTTCGAGGACTAGTGATTTGAATTCCAAAATTTTTGAACCAATGGTACATGGGCTGAGGACATTTTAATTAATGTATGGATAAAATGAATATTGCAAACCTAAAGTCATCATATTCCTATGTGATATGCTGCAGTCAGCTGCTCAGTCTGATTTCTTGAAACTCAAATCTTCTGTTGTGACTTTAATAAGGATCATGGCACTTAAGTGCAGGTTACATTACTATTTGGCCGGAATAATAACAAGTAAATCGACCTTCTTGAACATAAGCAAAATCAACGTGGCCCAAGCTCAATGGTTAAATTAGTGTCTGCTAATGGAAATGCCGCCACTAGTCTGCAGACGGCATTGCAAAAAATGACAAAAGCATTAGGTTGTGAAGATAATAAATAAATCGGGCGGCTTTGACACTTCCAAAAAGTCCACTAGGCTAAGGCATGAGATGCAAAGTTCATATTAACATCCTTGTTTGAAAGTCAAAAGAGAGCTAACCAAAGAAGAAGTGAAAGAGAGGAAAAAGAAAAGGAAAGCGAACCCAAAGGCCAACAAAGAAGCGAAGAAGGAAGAGGATAGAAGAGAAAGAGAGGAGAGTGAGAGAAAGCAAATGAGGAAACAAGACAAGGAGAAAAAGAGACTTGAAGGATTGTTAATGAAGGAAAGGGAGAATAAAGAAAAGCTGAAGCAAAAGATCAAGAAGATGAAGAGTTGATTATTGTGTTGTTGAGCCATCTTCCCAAATCCATTGACAAAAAGGATTTGATGGATTTTCTTTCTAAACCTACGAGCATGTTATCATATTTCCTTTCATTTAATTTGTATTTCAATACATTATCTAACACAATAATAATGATCAGAAGAATAAAACTTAAATTAACTCAAATAGAGTTGGCTTGCATGGCAACCGATCTGACAGGCACTGATCATGAATCAATATAATTGAATTAACTATAACTTTTACATTACAGTACAGATTATTTCTACACCATGTGTAGTACACTTGAGAATGTGCAACAGTAATGGCAGGAAACAATCATGGGTAAACATATGAGATGACATTCTCTAATTATTCTTTTTGGAACAAGCATCACCAACCAAGCTTATTATTTCCTAAAGATTAAAATTACATAATAAATTATTCAATGCAGAAGCTTGGTCAATCTCCTACCAGTAACACCCATCTTCTCTTCTACTTCTCTAAAGCTACCAAAAATTTACATCAGAAACAATAGCAAGGCTCCTCCCAGCAGATCATCCACCTCTATGGATTATGCATGGTCTTCCATTTACCAATTGGCAGTAGGCTGCTGTACAATCCCACCTAGTACATGGGCAATTCTTGTAGCAGCAGTATATCAAACAATCTTCAGAGCGCAATTGCTAGTTAAATATAACTACCTAATTTTAAGTGAGCACTTTACGAAGTTCATTAACTAATTGCACTCTGGTTGATGATTCCACCTGCATTACATTCAAAGAATCATCACTCTCAAGTTGTGACAGAAAAGCAAGAGGATCATAAAAATTTCTTTCTTAAAACAACTGACAAGTAAGTTTTTTACCTTGCTTAGCAGGGCAGCAAGACCTTGAGGCAAAGCTTGCAAGTCTGCTCTTGAATTGCCAATATTTGTCATTTGAAGCAATATTTTTTGAACACGCAATTCCTTCAATTTCTCTTCATAATTTTCAGGGTCGTCCTTCCATTTAAAGAATGCTTCATCGTCCACCCAAGCATCTTGCCCAGTACTTGAAATATGAGCATCCGAAAACCATTTCCTGATCAAGTCCATTGCAGATTTATGTGACATTTGATCTCCAGCAGCATCTTTGACAATATTTACCAAAGAAACCTCAGCAATTCTTCGACGCAACCTTCTATAGAAGAACAAGCGGGAGCTACCCCAGTCCAGAACTTCTCTTATCACCCCTTTTGCAGCCATTCTAAAGGAAGTGTCGTGAAGCTCAGCAAATTTGGTGGCTATCTGAGTGTACAAAGGCAAAAGCTGCTTCTCCCGCGATCTTATCTGTTGCTGCACAGACTCAAGTACCCCATGGGCTCCACTACTCTTGGCTTCCTGTATCTTTGCCTTCAAACTGATAAGTTGAGGGTCAAGCCTGCCCATGCACTCCAGCAGCTCCCTTGTTCTAAACCTGACCTCTATCATCCCTTCCGGTTCAAGTACGTTACCCTTGGCTGTTCGATCGGCATACATCTCGATATGGTTTGAATTGATCCTACTATCCACAACAACCCATGCTCCACCACGGAGCTCCCCCATCATGGGTATATACACAAAAACTGGCTGTCTGTATGTTCTAAGGTTCTCGACAATTGTTGATCCAGCCTGAAGGATCCCCTCGAAAAGGTCTCTTTGACCACCTGAAAAACCTCTCCAGTTGGCAAGAATAAAAAGTGGAAGCTCTTCCCTGTTGAAATCCATTAAGGCTTGAGCTGTCTTTGTTGCAGAATCTGGAAACCATACTTGCCCAGCTTGAGGAACAACCCTTTCATGGGAATCAAGCTGCCCTGGATCAGCAGGGATAACCTGCATGACAGTCTGTGTCTCAACTGCAACTATTCCCAAAGGGATGCCCCCAAGCCTTGCCCTTCCAGTCACAACGGTCCTTGCCCAACCTTCCAGTGTCTCAACAAAGCTATCCTTGTCAAAAATGCCACCCAGCCAGTTTCCACTATCATCTGTAATACCAGCAATAGCAGCACGTGGATCGCATGAAGTTTCCGGGAGGTACTCCACAGGCCTTTCTGGAGGATCCAAGGGCCTTAAAATGGGAAGCATACCACCTACATGGGGAGGAATCCAGCTTAGCCAATTCAAGATAGCCGATACGCCTTCTAGATCATCTGAAACAGTAAGATGGGTAACCCCATTGGTTGCCATAATCTTGGGTCCACCAAGTTGCATTTGGGAGCTATATACCTCTCTACCAAGCAGTTTGTTTAATGCAGAAAAGCCAGTCAAAATAATGGGCTGATCAAGCCTCTGTATGCACCTGATCCCCAGCCGAGCAAGATAAGCACCAATTCCCACTGTCCTGCCAGCAACATATGTCAAGGTAAACGTTTCCTTGTAGGCCTTAGAGTATGCAGCGGCAATGGCCCCACTTCCTGATAAGTTTTCAACACCCAAATCGTCTTCCTTCCCAATAATGGTATCTATGACCCATCTAGTTTCTCCAGTTGCGAGCTTCAGCTCGTGTGCGATCACAGATGATCCAATCTTTGCATAATCCTCAGGGCTTAAATATATATATTGAAAACCACGCTCAGGGCATGATTCATTTGACCAACCAACTTTAAAACAGGCTCTGACTTCCTCAGCTGCCCCAATACGAGCACCCGAGTTTGCAGCCAAATAAATTAAGGGCAGTTTTTTGGTACAAGCAACGTCAGTTACAGCCAGGAAGAATGCATCCTCTCTAGGGCCAAAAGACCCAACTTTGAAAGTCACATCATTTGCTACTACCAAAATTTGCCTTCCTGAAGGAAATTCAGGAGTAGACATTTCCATGCACCAAGCTACCATGCCAACATCATTTATCCCACGTGGCCGCTCCACTGAAACAAGTGGAGTGCCCCAAGAACCTTTTTGGTCAGCAAATATGAGTTCTGTGGCTTTGAAAAGAACCTTATCCTTGGGCTTTTCAGTACTCATGCAGTGGGATGCCCATGACTTCTCCAATGCTGTCTCAAATGCCTGAAAACAAAATTTGTTGCCAAAGTTTGATTCCCACCTACTACTACAACAAAAAGGGGAAATGCAGTGAAAGGAAGTGATAATGTATAGTTGTAAAATGCATAAATCAGTGCTCACCAGGGGGAAATCATAGCAGTAAGTTGTGTTGCTCCTCCTTGCTGCCAGTCGTTTTCGATCTAGAACTCCCAAAGGTTGATAGTGAGCATTTACAAGCACACCATGCAA